CAACCATGACCACATAATCCTACGTACTTAATAGCATCAGTAGAAATCTGCATTAAGCTTTTGCTTTCAGTAACGCGCAGCATATTGAGATACAGCATGTGTGTGTTGGGCTCTAACTGTGAACATGAGCTGTACCTCTGTAAAATAGAAGTAGAGTTTAGTGTTTAAAGAAACAGCATAGCATTGTAACACAGCAATTACAAATACTGCTAATTATTATGTTTAAACCGAGTTCGACAGCTGTCCAAAAGTCTGCTAAAGCCTACGCCACAACAAAGTAGCTTAGTACCGTGCGTCTAATATGCTGGGGGGTCACTCCACATGTCACGCAGTATTTTTAGTCGCAATCTGCATTTAATCCAGTACAGTACGGTATTTAAAAAGAGGCCCGATAAACTATGGCAACTCACAGCTTCCACGTACAGAAGGCAACACACTACACCTGGTATTCCCAGGTTTCAGGTGATGTATGAAGGTGCTTGACAAGTTGGAAGGCAGAGTATGAAGTTCTGCTCGTGCTGAACTCGCGGCCTTTATGTCCCATAGGGGACGGAGAGGATTAAGTAACTAACTAACTAGTGCCGATCTGACATCTGCAGCACGATGTGGCTTTGCGTGGTTGTGCCGCACAGCCCTCCGATGTGTTGTTCGGCACGATGTACATCGAGCTTCTTCTGGAACTGAAACGTTGGACATCAGACCGAACAACACGTGGCACAACCCAAAAAACACATCAGGGATTTCCCACTGCAGCAGTTATCTCGGGAATGGTTCGAGAAATATTTTTCATGGATGTATAAGCCCTTTATCAATCCATAGCTATACTCTTTGGTTCTTTCGGTAAAATCACGTAGGTATAACATAAAATAAATTACGACGTTTCGATTGCAACACAATCGATTGCAACACAATCGAAACGTCGTGATTTAATTTATTTTATTTGCTACCTACGTGACTTTACCGAAAGAACCAAAGAGTATGGATCCCTGCAGTCACGAAAACTTCAAATCTAGATTGAATCCATAGCCTGATGAAGGCCTCATCACACTGTCTCACTTATGGGGGTTGTTTGGCCATAATTCACCAGGTTGTTCACGGTGGGTTGGTGAAGGGGGTCGGGTTCAAAGCCACTTTGCCATTCAGGTTACCAGATTCATAGCGCGATGTACTCATCGCCTGCGCCATCGCTCCTCGTCCTTAATTTAATAATCAGATGAGGGCCTGTTGAGAATAAATATCACTTTTTCAAGGGTGACCGGGGTACTAGGCAATTCCTTGTCAAGAGAGACCTTGGTCAAGAAGACAATATAAAAAGGTCAAAACCAAATGTAATACGTGGTCGGATTTCATTGCAGCTGTTTGGTGGATAACGTTTAGTTGATAAGTTAGTTAATCTTTGATATTTTAGTTAATAAGCATCGCAAGAGTCGCATATAATTCGCCTGTTGTTTAGGAATAAAAGCACAAGCATACTTTAATTGCATTTCTGTTCACATTCAATGGATTAACTTTATGAATATTTCTACATACGTAAAACAATTGTATACACCACGGGAAACTAATGTGTTTTTTTAGGTAAGGAGGATATTCTAGATGTCACACTTGAAGAAGTCACCAATGCCCTTTGTAGCACAAACAAGGAAAACCTCATAAGCCAGATGAAATAACCAAAGACATCATTAAAGAAGATGGGATCAGCTGTTGGATCAAAATTAACTGTTCCAGGTTTTAAGCGTTCTGTGCATAACTCTGAGAGATGGATAAGCAGTCGAACATATGTACTGTACAATTGAAATCCTCAGTTATGCTGTTGTATTTAATCCACCCAAACAAGCACTAAATATAGACGTGAGCTCTCAATATCTTGTCAATGGCATTTCGAGCTTTTACGTTGACATCATAGCATGATGCACAACCATAGATGGTAAACAGAAAGTCGATGTTTATCCTGAAGTGCAATTGAATTGCACTGCATTATTGTATATCCACAAATATGTATACACTAGTATCATTGCATAACACAATAATACAATTTTCTTTTTAATGTATGGGATTAAATATTTAAATATAAGTACTGTATTAATGCATTTTCTTGCCTTCGTTTGATAGCTTAAAAAAATTATAATAACGTTTTGAAACAGTTTTGACAGTTGCCTTTAAATTGTGCTAGCTTTCAAAATTCCCATTGTGCATCTTGTCCTGCTACAACACAATCAAAATAGGCTCTCATGCAAAGGACACCCATGCAGAGGTGCAAACAGATTAGGGCCCTCAAGTGGCTGCTCCAGGTCTGGCACTAAAATAATAAAAAATAAAAAATCCCGGTTACTCAGCCACCGGGATTTTGCGTAGCGGCCAGCAACAAACAGCGCTATTGAAGTTGCAATGAGAGTTTACAGGTTTCTAGAAAGTCAGGGAATGCCGGCGTCAAGCAGCGTTAAGGAAGAAATTTGAAAGACAAGTGTTTGTGACCTGCTGTGTGCTTTGCATGAACACAGGATGTATGAGACGACGCAGCCTCAACTTGGATGAAGGAAATAAACTCCACGAGAACGTGTTAGGAGCCGTAGAAGTTATCGTATGCAAACGCCTTTGTGATTATACTGCACTCCATTACGGAGTGAACTTGCATAAAAGATGATCGTGATACTATGGGAATGCCATACTCGCTCAGTTGAAGAGAGTTCCAAGGATGGGCTTGGCAACCCACACCCCTGTGCGTATTGTACGGAATTTCAAGTTTGTTAAATATTAGTCCGTTGCTGTAGTATAGTGGTCACTATTAGAATGCATTAACAATACTTTTACAGGACAGTACAGCCCTTTGCCAATCTACTGCTGAAGGACTTCCCACTCCGCGTGGGACAAGGGGCCGTCCATAATGACGTCACGCGATTTTTGACGATTTTTGACCCCCCCCCTTCGTCACACGGCGTCACAGAAAGTCAGACCCCTCCTCAAATATGACGTCACAAAGCTCTGCCCTTCCCCCCCCCCAAAAAAATGCTTCAAATCGCTTTAAACTATTGTCATTGTAGTGCGTATTTAATGTGGCGCTGCACTCTGATGTTGTTGGAGAAAACATGTATTAAAAAGTATATTTCATTAAGTACAACGTGTTGTCTATATTTATTTAAAGTTGCGCATTTTGATGTGACGTCACATTTCTCAAACCCCCTCCCCCTCGTCACATATCGTCACAAATGTCCGACCCCCCCCCCCCCCCCAAGTGCGTGACGTCATTTATAGACGGCCCCTCATAACCCTCACTACAAAGGCTGAACCCTCACGTCACGCGATCTGTTGAGACATCGAAGTAAAAAGGATGTCATGATGAACAAGGGATTTTAACCTTCTAATGAAATAAGTCTGTGTCACCGCGCCCTTACAAATTGCACACGAATTGATGCAATGAATATGACGTCGCGGTCTGCTTTTCGAATTGTCAGTTTCAGATTTACTGCAATACACCCGTCCTTGGACGGGAAAAAGGCTAGTGTAGTGTATAGTGATGGAGAGTAGAACCCCTCTTAACGACCACCCCTGTTAACGACTAATCGCTTTACGACGGGCCTCCATAGAGCCCAGTGTAGTGTATAGTGTAGTGTATAGTAGTGTAGTGTATGGTAGTGTAGTGTATAGTGTATAGTAGTGTAATGTATAGTAGTGTAGTGTATAGTAGTGTAGTGTATAGTGTAGTGTATGGTAGTGTAGAGTAGTGTAGTGTATAGTGTAGTGTATAGTAGTGTAGAGTATGGTAGTGTAGAATAGAACTCCTCTTACTGAGGACCCCTCAGTTCAACACGTAGGCTTTCGCGACCAATATTATTCATAATAAAGGTTTTTGGGTTAGATCGCGGACCCCTGTTAACGACTAATCGCTTCACGACGGGTCTCCATAGAGCCCAGTGTAGTGTATATTAGTGTAGTGTATAGTAGTGTAGTGTATAGTAGTCCAGTGTATGGTAGTGTATAGTAGTGTAGTGTATAGTAGTGTAGTGTATAGTAGTGTAGTGTATAGTAGTGTAGTGTATAGTAGTGTAGTGTATGGTAGTGTAGTTTATAGTAGTGTAGTGTATAGTAGTGCAGTGTATGGTAGTGTAGAGTAGAACTCCTCTTACTGAGGACCCCTGTTAACGACTAATCGCTTCACGACGGGTCTCCATAGAGCCCAAAGTGTTCGCTTACCGAGCATTCCCCTGTTAACGACGGGCTGATGTAGGTACAGTAAATATTAATTAATGCATTGATTAACCACGTTTCCTTTAACATGTGGTTATAATGTTGTATCTTTATGTATTCATATCCATTGCTTAAACATTATAAAGTACTTTTTTGATTGAAAAAGGGTAACTTTCGATGCTATCGGTACGAATGAAGCCTTTTAACGTGTATTTCCTATCCTCGCTTAACGACTAAATCACTTAATATAAATATTGTTTTATATTTTTATTATTTTATTGTTTCCCTTCTACGTGACTTTACCGAAAGAACCAAGAATATTAATCCGATGAGCTATGAAGCTCTTTTTTTCCACAGATGTCCTATGAACTATGAATGAATGAACTAGTTCACACAGATGCCCAATACAGTAGAATCCCTCCTCTTAACGACGGTGATTGGTTCCACGAAAACCGGTCGTTAAGTGATTTAGTCGTTAAGCGAGGATAGGAAATACACGTTAATATTGTTTTATATTTTATAATTTTATTGTTTCCCTTCTACGTGATTTAATCGAAATATTTGTATTATTTTATTGTTTCCCTTCTACGTGACTTTACCGAAAGAACCAATAATATGAATCCCTGCAGTCACGAAAGCTTTAAATCAAAATTTAGCTCATCGGATTGTTCCGACGTTTCGGGGAAAGGACGCCTTGGACGTGACGTCACCGTCCCTCCACCACGCCTGTGAACGTTGCCCCGTGACGTCACCGCGCACAGTTGCGCGGAGACGTCACAGCACCCCGCGGCGTTGTGGGTAGCGTGCGTGATGACGTCATCCATCGCCTCCACGCTCCGCTTCGACTGCTGTCGTCGACAAAATTCTGCCATTTTAAACGTTGACCATTTAAGTTTTATTTTCTTTTTCTCTCCCCACTTACATTTACGGTAAATATATGTTAGCCTTGCTGGGGTAGCATATGTTATTGCTCGGCTCTGTTGACTTGTACCGTTACTCCGTGCAGTCTGAATGTAGCTTGTTCCATCTCCTTGCAGGAGAGTTATAGATTCTGTGCACTGTCTATGTTTTTAAGGCCGTTGGTTGGTTGTTAGCGTGTTATTAACTGTGTCAGCTTCCAACTGAAATGTCAATCCGTAGTCTCTAAATTATCGGCGTAAAAGCTATTTGATATTAAGTTGGGCTTTGTATAAAATCTTGACAGCACGTACTGGTAGATAATTTTCTTTTTAGGTCAAGCTTATGGTCGGTAGGCCTCAAAATCTCCCGTTCCCCTATGCGATCCCCTATGCGTTCTTCGCAAAAATGTTACGTGAAGGGAAATGAATGGGTTCTGAAATTAATCAAATCAGCGTGTCTTTTGTTTTCAATCAGTGCCCTCTTCTCGAATAGAATAATTACCCAGTCGATTGCAAAACATTGAGTTGACGTGAACAGCTTGGCAACAAGGCCTTCATCCAGCCGTGGATTGATCATGGCCGAGACCAAACTGCACCAACCAGCTAATATTGATTATTTATGTAACGTATTTACAAGTATGTCATAGGAGTAAACTACATTGTTTTCAGGTTTGGACGCCTTAGGAAGGCAGCGGTGGTTATCCTGTGTACAAACTAATGACCGGCATGGGAATGTGGAATTTACATCGCTGACTCTGGACGCTCAAAAGGCGATATTTAATTTTAGGATGTGTATACTTCGAGGCACGACATTCTGCGATGTCAAACAATTGCCTGTAAGGAATCCCCCTGTTAACGCCTTCGGGACCGTCCATAAATGACGTCACGCACCGGGGGGGGGTTTGTGAAATGTGACGTCACATCAAAATGCGCAACTTTAAATAAATATGGACGTTCTACTTAAATATACGTTTTAATAAATGTTTTCTCCTTCAACAGTGCAGCGCCACATTAAATACGCACTACAATGACAATAGTTTAAAGCGATTTGAAGCATGTGTTTTTTTGGGGGGGCAGAGCTTTGTGACGTCATATTTGAGGGGGGGGTCTGACTTTTTGTGACGTGTGACGAAGGGGGGGGGGAGGGGTCAAAAATCGTCCAAAATCGCGTGACGTCATTTATGGACGGCCCATTCCCAACTGCTTTAATGCGTTCGCTTCGTCTGTACATGTGTGTGTGTGTAACGGCGCCGACACAGCAACACAGTGGGCTTCTTTCTTGGGTCTTGCAACTCGTTCTCTGGCCACCGAACGTCCCCTTGTGCTCTCCCCATTTTTATACCTTTTTCTCAGTTCGAATCTCTCCTCCAATCCCTTTGAGCCTCGCCTCCCGACCAAATCACTGTGGGGGGCTCTCTACTTCATGACAATCTCTTTGCCTGTCACGTTTGCTTCGGGATAAGTGGTCTGGAATTCGGTTATTACGTGTGGATGTACTGTATGTTGAACTTCTTTCGCACCCTACGTAGCCAATCGTGCTAATCGGAGGTCTGTAGTGCACACCTGCCAACCCCTTATCAGTGCCTACCTTATACAGACCAATTCTGACCTTATTGGTCACCCCGTGCCCTTATGAATCTCAACGTTCATCCTACAAAGTCCCATCGCAAGGGAGAAGCACAAATAGACAAAAAGATGTTGCCCGTATTGAAACGGCTGTACACTGTGTGGACCTAAAAACTAAATTTCCCTGTACAAGATTATGGATAAACCGTATGTTTTGACAAGTATGGTAGTGGAGGCTCAGAAGGTAACTTCATCACTCATAAAATACTTAGAAAGCCAAACATGTGGGAAAGCAGTACGGAATCCCATGCATTTTCATGATTTTTCTTTTTTGTTTTATGCTTAACCCGGCTGAACAGACATGGAGAAAAAGTCAGCTTTGGGCCTGGCCAGCAAGAATATGATTCCCATCCCGAAAAGGAAGATGGCTTCAAAAGGTAGTTGTGAGGTTTACTTGGGTCATGTTTTCAATGTGTTACCATGTTGCTTTTTTTTATATAGATTGTTTCAAGTAGATTCCAGTTTAAAGTTACTGACGTCATTTAATTGTATTGCAGAGCCACATTTGGAAGAATGCAAGATTGGTGGGAGAGAGGAAATAGAAATAAAGGCGTATTTATCTCAATGTTTGCTGGACCCCAACGACAACCTGAAAATGTGTGAATTCACCAAAATATGTCTCATTTACAACCCATCATTGCTCCAGAGCTTCAGTGAAAAAAGGTGGGTGGTACTGTAGAGTCATTTCAATGGTACATTTGAAAAAAAAATCTAAAATCGTGGTCACTTACACAATGTGTAAAGTGATGCAAGGTTTGTGAACTAGAGGTTAGGCCAGGGTTAGTGGTGCCAAAATGGTTGTCTTTTTCGTTTTGAATGCGCTCGCACGTAAAATCTGATAAAAGCATCGGTTGTTTAAAGGTTCATGCAGCATTGGAAAGTTACGTCATGCTTATTGCTGTTCCGAATCAGTTAAATAAACATGTTTTACTCTTTGGTTCTTTCGATAAAGTCACGTAGAAAATAAAATCAATTAATAATAGAATACGACATTCGTTTTCAACAGAAGCAACCGTCATCAAAGAATGAGAGGAGCGTGGTCAGCCTGGTGGGGTTTTTTGGCTGTTGTGTTATCTGGCTCTCTGTGTTGTGTTGCATTGTGTTTCTAAGTTTACTATGTTTTTTTTTCTCATTCGTTCTTACCTGATGACGGTTGCTTGTGTTGCAATCGAAACGTCGTATTCTATTATTATTTTATTTTCTACGTGACTTTACCGAAAGAACCAAAGAATAATTCCTGCAGTCACGAAAGCTTCGAATCTAGTTTAAATATGTTTTTGCCCATTAAAGTTAGTTCCACATTGTGGGCAGTATAGAGTGGTTGGCCATGGTTAAACTCGCCCCGCCATGATAATGTGGAATTACACCGCTGGTTTTTATCCATCAATTGAGATGAACACCCTACCCCATTGCTCGTCCAAGTGACACTGACTTAATTTTTACATTTTTAAAATCTTTTTCCCAATCTTATCCTGATTGTGTTATTAGCATCATGTCATAAAAGAAAGTATCCATTTTGATCTATTGTGCAGCAGCGTGTTAGAGATCAGCCCACAGACGTGGATATCACAGAGATCTCGCTTAAATATCCCGGAGTGACGTTTTGTTTCACAAAGTAGGGGGCAACACTCTCCCACCCACTCTGCAACCGAGAATAATGTTTATCACATGTCAGTCAGACTAGTACTTTTAAAAATAACTGTTAGAGCTTGAAAGTTCAGAATTAAATGTAATGCGCTTTTTGTGTGAAAAGTGATTGGTGAACAGGCTGAGACCATCAACTCATTACACTTGAGAACCTGGTTTCATAGGCAGCTGCCTGGATTGAAACCGAGGATCTCAGTGGTGCCAGTTCAGCGCTCTGACCTTTGAGCCCTGTGGCCACCTTTGTCTTCTTTAGGCAATTTTACATGCCAATTTTCATTTTGTAAAACGTGGGTGTGAATTGGGCTCAATAAATCTCTGGAACAAAACTGTTTGAAGTTACAGTCATTAAATTGTAATGAATGTTGACCAATGTATGTGTTCTAGATTTGAAGCGTTCGTGACTGCAAGGATTCATACTCTTTGTTTTTTTCGGTAAAGTCACTTAGGTAAAAAATAAACAAAATAAGTGAAAACTAAATTAAATCACGACGTTTCGGGCGCAACACAAGTGAAAGCTGAAATAGCCACTATCCTCGAGAATGCTAAGAAACCTGTTAGCAACATCAGCAAAAACGAGCGTTCTGAACTCGCAAATTTGAAAAAGAGGGATGACATAGTCATCCTCTCAGCCGACAAGGGCAATGCCACTGTCATCATGGATAAAAAACTCATACAACAACAAAATCCAGGACCTACTCAATGATGGCAGCCACTCCAAAATCAATAGAGATCCGACTAATAGCCTAACTACTAAAACCAACAAGATCATCACTAGTTCGACTTCCCTAATCGAATCAATCAAATGGCTCTCCCTGAAACCCTCGACTGCGAGACCTCCCAGATTATATGGGCTTCCCAAGATCCACAAAGAAGGTACCCCACTACGGCCCATTGTGTCCACGATCAACTCACCTACCTACAAACTGGCCCGTTTTCTGTCGGATACGCTGCTTTCCTTTACTGGCAATACCACATCAGCAGTACTTAACTCACTTGGTCTCTCTAGTCAAAGACATTGTACTGTCTACTGATGATGTCCTCGTCAGCTTTGATGTGGTCTCTCTGTTCACCAAGGTTCCAGTGCCTGACACCATAACTAATTGAAGATTTAGTCCAACATGGACTGAACCCTGATGTCCCTGCGCTGGTTAGGCACTGCCTCACCAACACTTACTTCACCTGGAATGATACCTTCTACAAACAAAATGAGGGCACCCCTATGGGTTCCCTCTTGTCACCAGTGATAGCCAATGTTTTCATGGAGAAATTTGAAATGGACGCCATCCAGACATCCACCCTGCGTCCTTCCCTGTGGAAGAGATACGTGGATGATACTTTCGTCATTTGGCCACATGGCCTCCCAGCATTGACTCAATTTCTAGACTATATCAACTCCATACAACTGTCCATCAAATTCATCATGGAAGTGGAGAAGGATGGCAAGCTACCATTCCTGGATGTTCTGTTTGAGAGGAGGCCCAATGGCTCTCTGGGACATTCTGTCTACAGGAAAGCCATCCACAGATTCCTACCTGAAGCCTGATTCCCACCACCATCCAGCACAAAATAATTCCCTCATCAAAACGCTATATCATAGGGCCCATTGCATCTCTGACCAACACCACCTGGCCAGTGAATTGGAACATGTACATCTGGCCCTCAAGATGAATGGATACTCGGACCGTGCTATCCACCAAGCTGTTTCTCCCAACGTGGAGAAACAACCCACTGAGACTCCGATCAAAATCATTACGTTGCCATGCATAGCAGGCGTTACCAAAAAGATTCCAAAATTCTCAACAAACACAAGATCCAGGTCCGATTCAGTACAGTACACAAGATCCGTGATCTGATCCCATCTGTAAAGGATGTCATTCCTGACTTACAGTACCCTGGTGTCTACAAACTGAGTTGCATCTGTGGGGATTGTTACATCGGTGAAACGAAACGACATGTTTCTGATCGCATTCGCGAGCATAAATTGGATCTGAAACATGGCAGGACGGATTCTTCGGCCGTTGCTGACCACTGTTATAATGCTTCTGGCTCTCATGACATTGTGTTCTCCGATACCAAGGTGCTCTGCAAGCCTCCCGGATACTTCCAAAGATTTGTCCATGAAGCCATCCAGATATACAAACATAGACATAACTTCAACCGAGATGATGGATTCAAATTGAGCAATCATTGGAAAGATGTAATTAACCAAGTCAAACTTTAGCTACCGGGCAGTTTACTGCTAGACAGCCAGTTTAGATGTATTTTCATAAACATACCCTTTTTCCCAGTCTGTTACCCCCAGTTTTACACACTACCATCGTCATGGTAGTGTTTACCACAAGTTGTTTTTTTAGCTTGCACATTTCAGTTTGAACGCCTTACATTGTTAGCCTGCGCTTTTCTAACTTACCCACCCGGCAGCATAACAAAAGGCGGCTTAATCCTCGCTTGCTTATTTACTTCCGCCATCTACATCACAAAGCCTCTCAGCACCACCAGTTGCCTCTCAGTGCACCCTCGGTTTTGCAACTTCTCCTCCCAGCCCACACCCCGCCCTCACACTCACCATGGCCCCCCCTCCCTCCATGCCCCGCGACTATATAATCCCCCGTCACAACCATCTCTGGGACACACTTAAGCGTCTGTGCTTTCGCTACGTTGTCCCCACTTGAAGAAGGACGCTTGTGTTGCGCCCGAAACGTCGTGATTTAATTTAGTTTTCATTTATTTTGTTTATTTTTTACCCACGTGAAAATTGTATGTGTGTTTAACTTCTTTCACACTGTACGTAGGTGCGGCGGAAGGAAAACAATTTAAACACAAAGCAGTTATAAATAAATTAGTTTTTAATTTAGATTTGAAAGTGCATAGCTCGAGTGGCTTAATATTGGAAAGAAGAGCGTTCCAGACTACCATAGAAACGCATCTGAAAGCACGAGATGCAGTGACCGTTTTTGTTTGATGGTTAGCCAAAAGCCGCTGCGATGATGACTGGAGTTTCTTGATGGTTTATGCTCCATGACGACATTAGTAAAGTATAGCTCATTTGTGGCAAGCACTTTTTGTGTAATCAGTGCGACCTGATAATGAATTCGTTCAGTAACCGGAAGCCAATGCAGCTTATCGAGCACTGGACGGACATGGTCGGATATTTCAGTACACGTCACGTGCCAAAGAATTTAGTGCACGCTGCAGCTTGCTAATGTTTTTGCCAGATGTCTCGTAGAGGAGTAAGTTGCAATAATCGAGCCTTGTCGATACTATGCTACACACCACTGTCGGCTATGTCATGCCTCAATAGTGGCCGAATGTGTCGTAGAGCCCTGATATGAAATTGCAGGACCTGACTATTTTTCACGTGGTGATCAAACGACACATTCTGGTCGAGTATGGTGCCGAGGCTCTTTGGATGAGTAACCAATGTTATTGTTCTCTTATTCATCCAGGCGTGAGATGAAATCTTTGGGAAGGCGTGGACAAGAGCTCGAAGTGGGGTTTGGCTTTTTGGTTGTTAAACACAGTGCCACCGTGGAGTCTATTTACCGGCAGGGCCTGTGCGTCAATCATTGTGACATTAAAGCTCTTGGAGACCCCTCCCAAGGAGTCTACCTCACCCGTCATATAGATATTTGTCTCAAAGTTTGCATACAGCGAGGCTTGCTCAGAGGAACCATTGTCATTTTCAAGGTATTGTTCTCTTAAATATTCCACAATGTAATGAAAAGAGTCCATGAACCTTTTCCTTATATTCTTACTGTGGAAAGTTTTGTGGCTCAGTGTGTTAAGGGCAGTTTGCCTTCGGTAAAGCAAATTTAATATTCTCAAACTGGTAGTGTTCACTGCAAAACAGCAATTGAAGAATTTGTTTCATAATCGACATGTGAACTATAGTTTTCACTCATGTAGAGACCTTGATCTTAAACTTTAGATTACATTTCCTAAATTCCTAAACTAATAACCACCTGTGCTTGTAGACACTATATAATATGCCACACTTTTTACGTGTTTGCACTGCATATTACATACACCGTTAATGTTTCTGTCAAGTCGTTGACATTTTTTATTCTTGCAGCCTTTGCCCAAAATTCTTAAACGTAATTAAGAAAAAGAAGTATTGGGTCATGCTTCGTTAATGACAATAAGCAGTAATAAGCAGTGTTAATGACATCTGTAGATCTCAAATATATCCGTATTTTTCTCTTTGGAAGGTGCTGTATGGGCGAGTAAAATCGTTGATACCTCGGACTCAACATGACAAGCCACTCGAGCCATCTTGCAACTATGATTGTCACATACCACAGAAGGTGCCCAAGATCAATGAACCACTAAATCTGCAGGTCTGCTCATTGGTAAATATTCCACATTTAAGCATACAGTTTACAGCTGGGCTATCCAATTATTTAAGTGGTAGATTACACTACCGACTATAAATTTGATTACATTATTTGATTAATTGGATAACACAAAAATAGTTGGGAAAAAAAACTGTTTCACCTCTTTTCCCTCGTGGAAGGTGATGGTCTGGCTTGATGATGCTGTTGGCATCATCAGCCACGTCAGACAGGACATGTCTTGTAGGGAGTTTCCTGCCTTTGGGAGGTAAGATCTGGGGGTGGCCGCCATTTTAAATTGGGCCCAAGTAATCGATCACGGCAAAAGTAGTCGATTACAAGCTTTCATCACGTAAACGACTGAAGAATTTTGCTTATAACGCCATTTCGAATCCATGTATATCTTTACACCTATTTCAGCGCATGTTCCAGCTTAAATTCATTGAACTGATTATAAGAGGTTGCCATGTGCTGCCAAATATTGAAAGTGTATGCTGTGAGGCGCGACTGACTGGAAGTTTCACGCCCATCATATTTGTTAGATTCATTACAATTTTAACTTTAATCATGGCATCGAAGGAATCCACCTCACATCAACTGAATCCAATACCTGACTAACTAATCTGGATATAATTGCTATTCATCCAGCCATAGGCTGCTATGTAGGTTTTCATGGTGGCGTTGTATAGTTCACCGATATAAGGGCTTCTTGCTCTGGGAGCTTCTCCAATCATTCCATTATTCCAAAAGACAGATTTTGTCCTGAGTGATGTATCAAAGAGGCCTTCCTTAGATTCTATGACACATACACTTATAACGGGAATTGTTAATGAAACCTCAGGAAGAAGGTGCTCCATCATGCCGAACAACACACGCTACAACCCGAAAACACATTGAGGAACTAACACGTTTTAATCTCACTGAAAAATCCCCAGCCTTCTGTTCTCTCACATTTTGTCAAAGCGTTTAACATGCTGAATGTTTGGAGAGGGGGCATGCAAGGTTGAATGTGAGAATTTTATGATGTGTTACACAGGTTCTATTTTTTTCATCAGGTGTATCTATATGAGTATGACAGCATCATGCTGCCAGTGAAAAGGCCCCGTCAGTGCCTGCCCTATGCGGTGATAAACATGCACCAGACATTTACCGGTGCTAAAGCCACTCCGCGTGCTTCCCTCACTTCTTCATGGAGCCTGCCTACAGGTAGTAGCGGTTTAGGAGCGTTAACATGAACATAATATAATAATCTGTGGCCCTTTATCTAATGCTGCATTAAGGCCCCCTTAGACCGTGTTGGTCATGGGGGTTGTTTGAATATACAGTACTTAGCCATGATGGTCATTGTGGGTTGGTGACCAGTCCAGATATCACTCGCCACTGGTGTTATCCATTGCTGGGAATCGCAGGGCGCTAACTAGTGCCACCGCTGTACACAGGATAATGATAATAACGTCCTTTGTTTTGTATGTATTCTACCATGTACACTACAAATTTGCATTGGCCTTTTCTGCTACGCTCCAGGGGTAGGCATTTGTAATGAGAAAAACACGCAATTCTAGCATTTTCTAACAGAGGGAACTTTTATGAGGTTTGATAAGCTGGATTGTGCGGTGTAACAAAACAGAGTTTTGATGTTCGCAATAATTTTTACTCCAAGAGTAACGACAGTAAACAGGCATGTTATGTTATGGTCACACTATATAAATATACCGTAATTTGATTAGATTGTATTTCCGTATTACCTTTGAAGCAGTATGCACCAATATGAATGCAAATGTGTGCTCATTTTTTCCTTCACCCTCCTGCAGAAGCTTTGTGGTTCATATTTAAAATAATTTACAATGCATTTGCTTACTTTAGTTTACTTGTGAACGTGCTTTATTGGTAAGGTTTTTATTCATTGTATTCCTTTCAGTGCTGGATTATACCAAAGGTTTAACTGTTGCAACACGTATTGGAAAGAGCATGCATGCCATAGTGGTGTACAGTTCTGCAAGAGGAAATGGAGAGCCGCGAGCCCAGAATGGAGAGGGTATCGACGTGTCAAGAGACCCAAGGCAGCGACAGAGAGCAGCCGTGTGTCAGATCTCTGTGGACACGGAGAGTCCTCCTCAGGCAGGAACAAATCCCGAGCGCCGTTGTCTGAACACGCAAATTCAGGCTGCGTTGAATTCCGCAGAATCGGCGGTCACAGATTTGTTACAGGCGTCCTCGTCTGCACGAGTCACATTCTCCAGTATGTCAGACCATCGAGCAAGCGAACCAGGTTTTAGTCGGAATGACGGCGCTTTGGACGAGAACCATGCAAATGGTGAAACTATTGTGCCGAGGTCGTTGAACAAATACGGCAGCTTTGAAATTCCTCAGTCTGAGACGTTTCTTGGACAGGATCTACAGATGCTCAACGAGCCTGCAAGTGCAAATAATATGAATGTGAAACACAGCCAACAAAGTACAGCCTCACAGTTTAATAACCAGTCAAGAGGTGGATCAAACTGCATGGATTATTGTGCAGATTACTTGAAAGTTCATAATGACAGCTCTGGATTGAGCGATATATCATTAAATAATAACTCGCTTTCCCAACACACAGAGTCACCTTTGTCACAGCCATCTTCACCTCCAGAGCTAGATTTAATGTACCAAGTCCCTTCAATTGAACATGACTCCTGGGAAGATTCAGCACCTTCCAATGATGACCAATGCACATCAATAAATGTGCATTATCCCAATACCGTAGCAAATATCTGCAAATCTGATATTCAGTTAGGATTTTGGCCAAAGAAAGAGTACGTATTTAATTTGTCAAATGTGTTGCTTAATGCCAATGCAACGGAAGGACCACTGGAACTCAATCAGATGATGGATTCATGTGAGAAGCTTCTGTCACTTTTTGTGGGAGACCTTCAGGAGAGTCTGGGTGAACCTCTCAGGAATGTTTTTATGTCAGCACCATTGTTGCAAAGGTTTGGTCTGAGAGAGACTTGTCCCTCGGTTCTCCTAGAAGGTTCTGCATTGGAGACGTACGTGGAGCTGCAGATGCTCTTAGAGACAACTCATTACATACAGAATCGATTAAACTTCCTGAAGGGTCTGCCGAGATTCCGCACCTTGCTGTGGTACGAAACATCACTTGGGATGGAGTCACTTGAGTACACTTTTGCCGGAACCTTGGTCAACTGCCACGAACTTTCCAACTTAAAAAAAGAGGTAGGTTTGAAGCATCTTTTTCTTTTTACTTCGATAATGTATGTTGAATATTTTATAGTCCAAACCACTGCTATCCATCAAGCAAACTCTGCGCTGGAAGTTGTTGATTATTGCCAGCAAATTCAGGCATTTTAAACAAATGCTGCTGAATTGTAGTGTTATTCCCAAAAGCAATCCATAATGTTAAACCGTGCTGGGCAGCAGAGGGCACTACCGTTCTTCTCTCACATTTACACCATCACAAACCCGTGCTGACGAGCACAGTGAAGTATGTTTTTTTGTTGAACACCTTTCGCACCGTACGTAGCCAACCGTGCTAATCGGAAGTATGGTCCTATAACACCCGCGATCCGCCATGCCATGCGGAGGCCCTCATCCACCAGTGTCATTAACAACAAAGGGCTGTTGAGGTACACATACCTATGTCCTCATTAGAGACACTTTTATGGAAATGCCCTCTTCCTGCAAAGGCTTCGTCATTGATATGCGCGGCGATGTCATTGCTCTCCTGCAGATCTACGCGGCCCGCGCGAGGTTGAGCAGGTGTACGGCGAACCATTATTTGCTGCTGAAGTGCAATGCGGAGAGCTTGGAGTACGAACACTTGGAGACGCGGAGACTAAAGTCCTCCATCCTGCCGCATCCGCCGCAGTCGGGGATGGTGAACCTGGGAAACTCGGTTGGAGAGCTGGAGGCCCAACGCAAGTGCATTCAGCACTTGCTCGGGAAGCTGTTTTTTGCTCCCGCCACGGACCGAAACGTCGAGAAGATTGAACATCTCAATCTAATTATAAGCACCATCAAACGAAAGCAGCAGTGGCTCAAGAGCAACCAGTACACGGCTCTTGACCCTAAGCAGGTATGATCAGATTATTTCGATAATTTTGCTGTTATAAATTTCCACATGATAAGCCACTTTGTTGAGCTATCATTTGTGGCCAGGTCGCTTCTGAATAAAAGCTCATAGATCAGTGGGCTTTACCTGGTAAGATAAAAAAAAAACATTTTGTTTTATTTGTATATATTGTTAAAAGTGATTTTGTATAGTAATGTTCTGATCTGCCCCTACTGGACATCTCTGAAAAAGAGCTCGATAGCTCATAGGATTCCTACAGTATAAATACATAATATGATTCTGATGTGCTCAATAATGTTTTGCCCACATCTTTAAAAAGCTGTCCCCCTATGGGCCTTCATGAATTACACAAGTTTAGTTTCTGATTTGAAAAATAAATGGGTCACCTGAAAGCTTTGTTGCATATTTTTTTTACTAGATCAGCAAGTTTGGTATGGACCATCTTGAGTGGAATGCAGCCAAGATGCTTGTCTGTCAAGAGCTGAAGGCCAAAGAGCCATTTGACAAGAAGGACTCTCAAGAGATATTCTCTGAAGTCAAAGAAAGGCTGAGGAAGATGACGGCAAATGATGTGGTGCCAGATGTACGAGCTGCAGTTGAAGACGCGAAGGACTGGCATAAGTTTTTACAGAGCTTTTCCTTCCCACGGACAATTTCCATATCTATCCAAACGCCCCGATCAGACAACGGAAGTGGACATTGCAGTGTGGTGGCTGTACCAGGCAGTGAGGGAAACACAGCCCCTAAGTCACTACCTTCAGCTGAGGCTCATGGGAGTGACAGCGGAAACAACATGGAACAGGTGGCCGCGGCAGCGTTGACGTCCCGTCAGCATACGCAAAGTACCAAGCACTCAAACGGATCAAGCAGGCACAGGGAGGAATATCCAGCAGACTTACCCACCAAGAGAACTAGATTTAGCTTTGATAGTGACATTCATGGAGTGGGTCTACATGCAAGCAGCAGTGATGTTGCTTTGTTGGAGGAACAGCCTTGTGTTAAGACCAGGAATGTGGAAAATGCTACTGGGGAGACTCACGCTCAGTTACAACTTTTTGAATGTCCAACACTTGTAAGTGTTTGGTTATGTATTTCAGCATCTGTCAAATTCATTTGAACTCTTCATTGGCATACTGAACAAGAACACGTTTGTAACTCTCTTGTCAACATTTTTTTGGCAGGTTATTCAAACTGGTGATGCTAACCTACAGATGTAAGTATTCCTTCAACATCCAGTTCATTACGAATTGCAGGCAACATTAAATATAATGGTTGAATAAAGTAAAAATGTCTCTCATGAGCAATCAAGTGATGGTCATTGACATCAGTGGTCTTGAGGCAGTGGTAGAATTTTTACATTCCTAAGGTGGAGGCCATCATCTTCTTAGAAGAATGACTGTTACCTTTTCAAAAGAGTTACTCATTTTAGGTACCCAAAGGTATGATGATGGGCTAAATTGACACCTCATAATGAGCTCACAAACTTGTGATTTAGTTGAGTACTCTATAATAGTAATTTACAGCACTATGTCCATCTACTGCTGGAATAAGACCTCTATGTTGGTCACGGGGGTTGTTTGACCAAACTTCACCGGCCAGTGCAGTTGGTCAAGGGGGGCAATCTCAGAACCGTTTAAAATATTCTCGACTGGTGTTAGCCGTGGCCAAGCATATAACTTAGGTCGCTGCATTCATAACACAGTGCCCTAACCACTGTACAACTGCTCCATCTGTGTGTAGTGAGCGACTTCCGAGACACGTTGTGGAGAGGGCTTCTTATTTATTCTCACACTTTCAGCACAACACTGGGCGATACATCTATGCAACGTTCTACGTAGCTACACATAGCCGACCCTTCTACACAACCCCATTGTCGGCGTCCAACTACACAGCTGTCTGACTAGCGTAGCGACGGCGACAATGAGAGACTTGCAGAAGATCGACCACGTGGCCGGACGACGAAGAGAGATGACGGCGAGCGGCGACGCAGCCAGGACCCGCAACAGCACCGAACCTCTAGTATATAAGGGGAAATGAACCTCTGGTTCGGTTCCCCTTATATACGCCCCAGCGCGACCAAGCCCTGCCTCTGGCCACGCCCCCTTCCAGAACCTTGAAGTAGGCTCCCGGAGCCTCCCGACTGACCCCGCCTTTCACCTTTACCCCAGATACGCCCCCCTCATAATTAGGCATTATGTAATTATACCCATAACCGCGATTACCCCTTCAGGTCGACAGGTGGCACCCTGTCATTACACGTGTACTCCAACTACATTGCAGTATATTAAACGAGAGGTATGGTTAGACATCAGGCAGGGCAAGGAGCACATGTACAAGATGCGCACTCGTGACAGTATCAGTTGATCACAAGTATGACATCGTAACAGCATTCTCTCGCTGCCTGTTCAACACAAGATTTCAGTGCTGCTAGACAAGATCGATGATCAATCCACGACACTGCGGGAGTGTTTAATTCCCAAAAACACCCGCAGATGATGTGCCAAATTGTTGTACCATGTGCAAAACCATCAATTGTCAATACTTAATAGGCCCAGCCTGAAATCTTGGCCAGAGTTCAGTGGTTTAATTCTCACTGCCACACGGCATGTGATAGAGGCATGTACTAATGGAAATGTGAAATTGTTGATGACTTTTGGTCCAGACTGAGACAGGAGGGTGAGCAGGATGAAAAATATGAAGATAAGATGCCAGGAAACAGCATACACACAACAGTGGATCAGGCTGAAGTGAAGTTTGCACCAGCCGATCCAGGTTGGGATGGAGAGGATTGTAGTACACAGATACAGGTAATAGTAATATTTCAAGCTGATTACCGATCATATGTTCAATTTCTTGATAAGTTGGATGGCCCAAAAATAGTTGGAAAAAAGTCTCACCGCTTTTCCTATGTGCGCTGTTGGATGGGAGGTGGCCTTTGCTTGCAGGGGGATTCCCGCCATCAGGTGGCAGAATGTGAGAGTGGCCGTCATTTATAAAGGGGCCCGAGAAATCGACGACAAAGAATTTTCAGTTGATTAATTGACTTAATCGACAATTTTTTCCTATCTCTAGTGATCATGATAATCGTCAATGTATTGAGCAAAGTCTCAGCAAGTCTTGAGACTTCTTCAGGGAGGTCCTACATTGAGGTTTTTTGGCCAATTCCATAAGCTTTTTTTCATATTAGAGGAAACTAGGGTACCCAAAGTGAACCCATGCCTACGCGGGAATTACTCTGGTAATGCGTTAAATATATTGGTAAGCAACTTACTTTCTGGACTGCCATTTATTGGGCACTTCACGTTGCAGCAGTTTGATATCACGCTGATCTCAGCGTGATGCATTGGCATATAATGATGCATTGTTTCTTTTATCGATATTTATTCTTGTGCTCATGGTACATTGATCAGATCATACCTTTGAGAATGTTATGCAAATTATATGCAAAGAGACTCATATATTTAGGCTGAAGGAGTAAACAAAGTACAAATAAGGCAAAATAAATATAATTCAACAAGATGGTAAAAACCACAAAATTCTTATATTAAATCGAGATTGCAAATTGTAACAATTCATATCACCGAGTTATTCATTATTGCATGCCTAATTAGCCCACCATTATAATTTTATTCAAAGATCAGTATTTGTTTTACATTATGTAAGGGTTATGCAAAGCAGTTACAACATACGGATTGAAAAAAAACGATTCCTGCGTGCATCATTCTGTGAATGCAGCATGAGCCTAAGAATCAATTGTAATTGATGAATTAATGCATCATTACATGTCTGCTCATCGGTGAATACCTCGTAGACTGCTCTGCCTTGCAGAAAATCAGATAATAAACCTGGCCGATACTACACTGAAACATGTACTCCCTTCACGTGAGCCTCAGTCACTCTTGGCACAACCACAATAATTCCCCCTTTCACCCATGCAGACCACTGGGCCCCAATTTTACCACCGGTTGTAATACCTCCTAGTGGGCTACACTCAGTGAAGCGCAACACCAAATTGTTAACCACAGATCTTGGTGCCATCTATTACGATCAAGACAAAGTGGTTATGCCCATTAACCTCCTTTGGCTGTTTGCAAAAATGAAAACACCCTTAGCGGAATGTCTGCAATTTTTATACAAACTTTGTTTCGAACATGGCGCATGCAGGTCATTGTGTTATAGACATACCATGGGCACGAGAATAATAAAGTTTAGATGAAAAATGTGCACTGGACGGTATATAAGTTTGTTATTTTAAAGTGGTGTCCATTAAAGACACGGGTATTTCAGGTATCTTATGGTATTTGATGCAACAGGCAACTGAACCCCTCACAATTATAATATTCATGCATTATTCATTTGTGCTTCAGGAGCTTCAGAGCAATCCCCAGCCAAACAGTACAGAGTCCTGTGCCGAGAGTGTCTTTGAGGTCTGGGACACACCAGAGTGGTTTCCAGCAAGGTGAGATGGGATTTGATTTACACTGGGTCGACCACACTGCTGGGTCTACGTCTCAGCCAGGATAATTTGTAATATTGCGTTTGAGACATTAATATTCTTACTTGAAATGCAAACAACGTGATTGTATGTTTGTGTACCACACCTGTACAAGCAGTCGGAAACAGCATTGGCATGAGATCCAGAATCACGAGCAGGTGTTATCATCCAGGCAGTTCTCATTCAAACACCATCAATTTGATGGTGTCAGTATGGTTACCAATGACTTCACATGAAACAAAAAAACACTGTCAAAAAATGGTTTTACACTTTGGCTACATTCCAGCTCTGCGAATTAACAAATATAAATTTGACTGCCCTGCGACACGAGTCTTTGTGTTTCAGTTTTATTTATTTGGTATAGCCCTGTGAGCCATTCGGCTCTTGAATCGGGTGCAACCGCAACAAACAAAAAACAAACACGAACAAGAAAACATCTGTGTAGCAGGATGAATAAGAAAAGTGGTGCCCCCCAGTGTGAGTTATGGAGATTTCATATTTATTAAGAGAGGCAGTCTTGTCATAACTCCTTCCACTGACCACTGCATAACATGGGCTAATGCACGGCTCTGTGAGAGTTCAGAATGGATTCTTCATCTCACAATTTGATGCCACCCACAGCACAATCGGGATAAAATTGTGGGAAAAGACAACACATTTGAAACTGTTTGTAACAGGTAGCACCTGTAGGTTGCCAAACTGGAATTCTCTACCCCTGCCCAAATGCCATTTTCCCAGTTGGCTTGAATTTGCCCAGGGACGTGTGGTGAAAGGCAAAGTATAAAGTTTTTTGTTTGATTATACAAGTATGTCGGCCTTGAATTAGAGAATATATATAAAATGGCAGGAAGGTATAAATGTCCTTCCACAAAATGTTCAAATTAAAGTCCACAGATTTGGATAAAAGGCATTCTAGGTTATGATATCCAAACAATATTACTGCAGTGGGTCCCACACATTGCTTCATATGCAAATATGTGTTGAATTTCCCTTTTAATATGAAGCACATTTGATTTAAAAAGTTACAACAAATGATTATCTTTTATTCATTTTTTATTGGTATTAACTCTTTGTATTTTAAGGCCAAGAAAAATATTTTTGCTCAAACCAATAACACTTTTGTAAATGTGTTTTATTATTTCAGATGCAGACAAACCATGAAGAATTGATTGAAATAAATTCGTGTTTTTCGGTGGGGGGATAGGAAAAATATTGCACGGTTAAAATCGAGAGTTGTAAATGTGGCAAGGTTTTATTGGAAAGCATGAATGTTATTCATTTTACTAACACGTGTAAAAATGATGGTGTTTATTACTTGCCCACCATGTGTGTGACTTCACAAGGACTATGATGGCACACAGGTGCAAGATTTAACTGCAGAGCATTCCTCTGTTTTCAGGGCTTGTTTAGCCATGGAGAGCTGCTTTTGATCTCTCGGCACCTACCGCTTGGTATTTTGCTGTTCCACACAAAAAAGGTCATACCATTTGTAAGCATTAGCCTTCACCTAAGCCTCATCTCTACAGCCGGATGATGGGATAAGTTGTCTCCTGATATTTGAACTCAAAACCTTCTGATTGTGAGTCTAGACCTCTGTAACAGCAGCACCCGGTCATATAATTGTTGCTATGTCATTAAGAATAGAACAAATGTACACAACATACAATTTTTAGGCATGATTCTAATACATGCATGTACGTGGTTCTCCAAATTTGCTAATGATGGTATGCTTTGTATCTTACTGTCATGGATGCTGGATACATGGGTTTCAATGAGTGAGTTGAAACAAAAAAATAAAGATTTGCATTCGCTGTGGTGCCTTATAACAGAAAACCGAAAACAATTCCATTCTGGCGTAAGAGATAAATGTCAACGTCGAGGTCTGCTAGCCACGGGAGGGTTTTAGAGGAGCGTTTGTGCAGTTTTGCCATTGAAGGAGCTGAGACTGCAGTGGCTCACCATGGTCCATAGTTTGGGTTGCATGGCCACAGTTGTGCTGTAGCTTGTCTTTAATTTTACATTCATGAAGGAGGTGTGTGCATCGGTTTGTTGATGTTCTGATGCGGTTGATGGTTACACCAAGGTCTTCAAGGAATGCCAAAGCCAGGAGGTGTGATGTTTGGGTCTCGAAATTATGTGTTTATTCTGGACGTCCGCATGCTTCCGTATCTCGGTAAGATTCTAGGATGGTGGCAGCACGATCCCAGAAGGAGGATCGGGGCTTGAGTCTTCGGCAAGGTATATTGCTGAAGTCTTGCTTGGTGAGTAGGTTGTCATTGGCAAGAAAACGTATACATTCCCTTGCAGTATGCATCTCGGTGGATATTTGGTGGCAGAATGTTCACCAGAACAGGGAGCCAGGATATTTATTTTGGTTTCAGTGTTGCGGTTATTATGCACATTGTATTATATAATTGTGCATCTAGCATTTTCATGTATGAGCTCCCAGACCAGACGAGAGCACACAATGTACTACCACTGAGTAGATCAGTGATAGAGAGCGGTCGTTTGCAGCACATGAGCTGAGGCGCTCCAGGTCGTTCCTGCATTATTTCTGTAGCAGATCTGTTTTATTTGGGGCTTGAAGGTCATGCTTCTGTCCATGATAATCCCTAGATATCTTGGAGTGGGGTCACAGTGCCCTGGGCTACCACAGAAGGACGGATCAAGAGTAACATGTGCTGCATGATTGTTCAGGTTTTTAAAATAATTTGGTCAGAGTCACCAGCGACGGAAATCTGCCTCCAATGAAGTTAGATCAGCTGTCAAGAGTATTAGCAATATTTTGGAGGTTTGTTCCCTATGCACCAAGGTCTAAGTCCTCTACATATATGAACTTGCAAGATGACGTACATGGCATAGTGATGGCACGAGGACCGAGCTTTGGGAGGCTATTGAGTATTCCACTGCAGCTGTTTTTTAGCAGTGAGGTGTAACCTAAAAGTACGGTTGCTGAGCATCCCATCAATTAGTTGATCGCGATATCATGAATTTGGCCAACTTCATCAGCAGGCCATGATGCCAGACAGTGTCATAGGCAGCAGAGAGGTCAACTGTTGCTGTGCTAGTTTTCTGTTGATGCTGGAAACCGGCCTCCATTAGGGCGGTGAAGGCAATGATCTGTTCACAGCAGCAGCTATGGCCAGTTCGAAATCCGGCTTGTTTGGGAGGCAATGGTACAGTCTGATGTTTCGGGGTAATGCTCCCAATGCAGTGAAACTGACTGAAACAGCCTATTTGTGTTTTGTTACTCGGAAGTATTAACCGTGAATGTGGTGGTGGTTATTGTTTGTACTTAATGAGTTGGCATTATGCTTTAGATTATAATAAAAGAGCACGCAGATCGCGTTGGGCAGTGCAGGCACATGCTGGTAGAATTATTGCCTCTCCTATATTGGAATTGTTGAATGTTAAAATTGTGAATTGTATCTGGAGAATGTGAAACATTAGCAGGATGTTATTTTCAAATCCCTGCCACTATCTGGCCACGTAACTCATGGTAAATGAGTAATCTGCTTTAGTGGCCCAACGTTACATGTTAACCGTTCGTATGTAAATCAGCTGTGAGCTTGTCAAAGTTACAGATGAATGGCTATGGTCACAATGACTAGAACCGGACTGCTCGTGTAGGTGTACCACTGCAGGTTACGCTGTTATTGCTGCAACGGAACATGCTTTGGAATGGGAAAATCCAGCTTGCCAAAAATAATATTGCATGCTACATGATGCCATACTCATGTGTGGTTGCTGATGGAGTTACCTATCAAGGTCAGTTATGCTATTTGAATGAATGTACAAATTCTACTTGAACGTATTGTTTTGTTTCTGTGCCAAATAAATGTTTATACTCTCATGCTTTTGTGTGTAACAGTTATGTAAGCACTAATTTGGCAGTTGTTTTCACTGAATGTGCTGCTGCAACTTGCTTTGGAAAAAAGTTTTGCTGGCTGGCTGGCACACAACCGGGCAAGTGCACATGTTACAGCGCACGTCTGCGCGTTGATGTCACCCGCATCCCGCAGCGTTGAACCGGGTTCATGCGTGCTGAAGTCACACCTCCCCCCACCCACCCACCCTCCACTTCATATATTTGAAAAAAATTTTGCTGGCTGGCTGCCTGCCTGGCTGGCTGGCCACATGCCGCCCTGCGTGCGTTCTTATTGGCCGCAGGCCATGCGCCACCCAGCGTGCAGAGGGGACGGAGTGCGGGGACGCGGTGGGGCGGGAGCAGGGGTGAGGGGTGCGTGTGGGTGCCCAGGAGGGAGGGAGGCGCACACGGGGAGATGTGGGGGGGTTTATGGGGAGGGAGGGCAACACATGGATTACAGAATGTGCACAAATTAAAGACATCAACTTAGAAAAAAATAGTGGGCTTGGTCAGGTCACGATGCTCGAAGGGATCGTGGTCGGTGGTCAAGATTAACGGCGGAGTAGCTCTCCAGGACAGCCTCACTGAGTGTCAAAACCATTCAGGAAGGACTAATTTTGGAAGATTATTGAAGAAGGGCAATTGCCCAAAATATCACCTATTATATACTTATTCCTTTAAGGCGTTGTTATTGCCAACACAGTATCGCCAAATAATGTTTGCTTTGGAAAGGTTACTGATAGTTAAAATAATATTACAATGATGTTTTTCAGTCTCAAAGGAAATTTAATTTGTCAGAACGACTTTCTGCCCAAACGAGTGGGGTTGCGTGCATCTTTATTTGTGGGCTTGAGCCAGTGGTGTAAATTCCACATTCCTTTGGCAGTTAATCAGTATGAAGGGGTAAATAAACTGCTTTTTACTTCACAGTAAATGGTACTCACTTCATCGACCCGATGGATAATAAGCTGAGTCAACCTGTAGCCAGGATTGGAACTTGCAATCTTGACCCAAGTTGGAACATTCTGCCACAGTGCCATTCAGTTAGATTTTCCACACCAATTGCTCAAAGGTGAGAACAGTTCACCCTTGGTGTCTGCTCAATGGCAGAGTCGTCAGTCTTTGGTTGTATGCATTGTATGTGTGTTGAACTTTCGCACCGTACGTAGCCAACCATGCTAATTGGAAGTGTGGGGGGAAGGACAAAAAACTAAACAAAAAGCAGTTCTAAACAAATGTGTTGAATGAGTGCATGGGAAATCGAGGTTGTTTTTGTGCAGGACCAGTGAATTTCTGGGGACAGCCAGAGTTCATGGTTATCGTCAATCTCAATCTTATAGTTTTATCTGAGGAAATGGAACGAGCTTCATTCATAACATAAAGAGAAGATTCCTGTCATTGAAAAAAGGGTTTGGCGTATCATAGATCAATGGACTTCCTTTCCAGTCCTCCAAAGAAAACAATAATGAAGTATTGGGGTATGTTTTAATTTAACATTTTGGAATGCCTTTAAGGAGCTTACAAAAACATCAGATTTTTTTATCTTTGGATATGACATATAATGTGTCCAATAAAAATTGTCCATTCTTTAGATTTTTGGCAGTGTTGAACGATGATCAACCTCGTAAAAACCCGTGCATCGTTAACAAAACATAACCTTTGCGGAGGAATACCCCGGGCCACATAAGTTAAAATTATCGGCCAAAACCATGTTTTGCACATTTGCAATGCTCCAACATTAAAGGCACATGAAAATATTCGAGCAAGTTAGGATTTCCACGTGAAATGTATTGCATATATTTAAGCAGTCAAGTATATGGCAAAATTGATATATACATGTTTTGTCGATATTACATACACTTTCTTTATCTCTTTCTGATTTCTGATTATTTCCAGTCACTGTAAACACTTGCGAGATGCAACAAATGTATATCTGCTTGCTTTTACACAACATTTCCTTATCCAGGAAAGCCACACTTGAGTTGTATGACTCTTTTTCAAGAGGGGGCCTGCATTTGCGTTTTTATTTTAAGATGTCATCAGCCAATTCATGAGTGTCTATACACATCACAGGAAACCGGAGCGCCCGGAAATAAAACCACGCGTTGCGGGGGGGGGGGGGGGGGGTGGGAACACTCTATCCCCACACAGATTAAAGAAGATGGCAATTAGTCCGCTTACTTTACTGCCTTCTCCTGGCGAGCCAGGGTATGGCACCTCGGCGCCCACGGGAAGCGAGTTTTACAACATTTGTGGCGATCCAACAACCGTCGCTGCCTCCACAGTGTTGGATTACAGGCCACGTGCATAGCCACCACCGCCCGGCTTTAAAGTCACACGTTTTGAGAATGTGCGATCTGACATGTACCTCTGACTGCGAACTGTGTACTGCGCCATTGGGTTTCAATGATTGTATCTGCAAGGCTCCTTGGACAATAATTCCAACTAGTTGTGAGCCACTTGAGAGTCGTGGTAATACATTACAGCTATCTCCTCACTGGCTGCCTCCGTGTGTTTCCTCAACGCACACCCTCTCCAATGACACATGCCTACTATACATTACATGATTTTGAAACTGGGGTCATGTCAAACGCCAGCAGACACGCAGCACTGGGGCCGATATGCTCAATTACCTGAATTATTAAATTAAAGGTAAGTTTTTTTTACATGTACATTTTAACCTTGTTCTAACAAACCACATAGCATCAGCTTTCAAATGAAACCTAATTCTCAGAAATTATGTAGGAGTTTTCTGGACAAACATGTACATACAGATTAACTGTATTGTGTACATAATATTTTTCATTTTGCGGGTATTTTTAGTTACTAATTATGAGTTTGATAATGGGTTTTTTGGAGGTGAACGTTTAAGTTGCTTTGCTTCCAAAGTATTGTCTAATATCTCGGATATGTCTTTGACTGAAATCGGCTATTGATAAACATCAGTTTTGCTGACATGGTATCTAGACATTTATTTATGATCACCAACTGTATAATGCATGTGTCAAAATGTATTTAAATAATGCTTTTAATTAAAAAGGTATTACCTCTTGTTTTAATCCACTTATAGAAGTAATAAAGTATGGTATAAGTGAATTAAAACCTCTTGTTTTAATCCACTTATAGAAGTAATAAAGTATGGTATAAGTGGATTAAAACCTCTTGTTTTAATCCACTCGCAGAAGAAGAAGTAATAAAGTATGGTATAAGTGAATTTAAAACCTTGTTTTAATCCACTTATAGAAGTAATAAAGTATGGTATAAGTGGATTAAAACCTATTGTTTTAATCCACTTATAGAAGTAATAAAGTATGGTATAAGTGGATTAAAACCTCTTGTTTTAATCCACTCGCAGAAGAAGTAATAAAGTATGGTATAAGTGAATTTAAAACCTTGTTTTAATCCACTTATAGAAGTAATAAAGTATGGTATAAGTGGATTAAAACATCTTGTTTTAATCCACTTATAGAAGAAGAAGTATTAATAAAGTATGGTATAAGTGGATTAAAACCTCTTGTTTTTACTTTAAAAACCTCTTGTTTTAATCCACTTATAGAAGAAGAAGTATGAATAAAGTATGGTATAAGTGGATTAAAACCTCTTGTTTTAATCCACTTATAGAAGAAGTAATAATAAAGTATGGTATAAGTGGATTAAAACCTCTTGTTTTAATCCACTTATAGAAGAAGTAATAATAAAGTATGGTATAAGTTGATTAAAACCTCTTGTTTTAATCTACTTATAGAAGAAGTAATAATAAAGTATGGTATAAGTGGATTAAAACCTCTTGTTTTAATCCACTTATAGAAGTAATAATAAAGTATGATATAAGTGGATTAAAACCTCTTGATTTAATCCACTTATAGAAGTAATAAAGTATGGTATAAGTGGATTAAAACCTCTTGTTTTAATCCACTTATAGAAGAAGTAATAATAAAGTATGGTATAAGTGGATTAAAACCTCTTGTTTTTACTTAAAAAACCTCTTGTTTTAATCCACTTATAGAAAAAGAAATAATAAAGTATGGTATAAGTGGATTAAAATCTCTTGTTTTAATCCACTTATAGAAGAAGTAATAATAATGAAGTATAGTATAAGTGGATTAAAACCTCTTGTTTTAATCCACTTATAGAAGAAGTAATAATAAAGTATGGTATAAGTGGATTAAAACCTCTTGTTTTAATCCACTTATAGAAGAAGTAATAATAAAGTATGGTATAAGTGGATTAAAACCTCTTGTTTTAATCCACTTATAGAAGAAGAAGTATTAATAAAGTATGGTATAAGTGGATTAAAACCTCTTGTTTTAATCCACTTATAGAAGAAGAAGTAATAATAAAGTATGGTATAAGTGGATTAAAACCTCTTGTTTTAATCCACGTATAGAAGAAGTATTAATAAAGTATGGTATAAGTGGATTAAAACCTCTTGTTTTAATCCACTTATAGAAGAAGTAATAATAAAGTATGGTATAAGTGGATTAAAACCTCTTGTTTTTACTTAAAAAACCTCTTGTTTTAATCCACTTATAGAAGAAGAAGTAATAATAAAGTATGGTATAAGTGGATTAAAACCTCTTGTTTTAATCCACTTATAGAAGAAGTATTAATAAAGTATGGTATAAGTGGATTAAAACCTCTTGTTTTAATCCACTTATAGAAGAAGTAATAATAAAGTATGCTATAAGTGGATTAAAACCTCTTGTTTTAATCTCTTGTTTTAATCCACTTATAGAATAAGAAGCAATAATAAAGTATGGTATAAGTGGATTAAAACCTCTTGTTTGAATCCACTTATAGAAGAAGAAGTAATAATAAAGTATGGTATAAGTGGATTAAAACCTCTTGTTTTAATCCACTTATAGAAGAAGAAGTATTAATAAAGTATGGTATAAGTGGATTAAAACCTCTTGTTTTTACTTAAAAAACCTCTTGTTTTAATCCACTTATAGAAGAAGAAGTATGAATAAAGTATGGTATAAGTGGATTAAAACCTCTTGTTTTAATCCACTTATAGAAGAAGTATTAATAAAGTATGGTATAAGTGGATTAAAACCTCTTGTTTTAATCCACTTATAGAAGAAGAAGTAATAATAAAGTATGGTATAAGTGGATTAAAACCTCTTGTTTTTACTTAAAAAAACTCTTGTTTTTATCCACTTATAGAAGAAGAAGAAGTAATAATAAAGTATGGTATAAGTGAATTAAAACCTCTTGTTTTAATCCACTTATAGAAGTAATAAAGTATGGTATAAGTGGATTAAAACCTCTTGTTTTAATCCACTCGCAGAAGAAGAAGTAATAAAGTATGGTATAAGTGAATTTAAAACCTTGTTTTAATCCACTTATAGAAGTAATAAAGTATGGTATAAGTGGATTAAAACCTCTTGTTTTAATCCACTTATAGAAGCAATAAAGTATGGTATAAGTGGATTAAAACCTCTTGTTTTAATCCACTTATAGAAGTAATAAAGTATGGTATAAGTGGATTAAAACATCTTGTTTTTACTTTAAAAACCTCTTGTTTTAATCCACTTATAGAAGAAGAAGTATGAATAAAGTATGGTATAAGTGGATTAAAACCTCTTGTTTTAATCCACTTATAGAAGAAGTAATAATAAAGTATGGTATAAGTGGATTAAAACCTCTTGTTTTAATCCACTTATAGAAGAAGTAATAATAAAGTATGGTATAAGTTGATTAAAACCTCTTGTTTTAATCTACTTATAGAAGAAGTAATAATAAAGTATGGTATAAGTGGATTAAAACCTCTTGTTTTAATCCACTTATAGAAGTAATAATAAAGTATGGTATAAGTGGATTAAAACCTCTTGATTTAATCCACTTATAGAAGTAATAAAGTATGGTATAAGTGGATTAAAACCTCTTGTTTTAATCCACTTATAGAAAAAGAAATAATAAAGTATGGTATAAGTGGATTAAAATCTCTTGTTTTAATCCACTTATAGAAGAAGTAATAATAATGAAGTATAGTATAAGTGGATTAAAACCTCTTGTTTTAATCCACTTATAGAAGAAGTAATAATAAAGTATGGTATAAGTGGATTAAAACCTCTTGTTTTAATCCACTTATAGAAGAAGAAGTATTAATAAAGTATGGTATAAGTGGATTAAAACCTCTTGTTTTAATCCACTTATAGAAGAAGAAGTAATAATAAAGTATGGTATAAGTGGATTAAAACCTCTTGTTTTAATCCACTTATAGAAGAAGTATTAATAAAGTATGGTATAAGTGGATTAAAACCTCTTGTTTTAATCCACTTATAGAAGAAGAAGTAATAATAAAGTATGGTATAAGTGGATTAAAACCTCTTGTTTTAATCCACTTATAGAAGAATTATTAATAAAGTATGGTATAAGTGGATTAAAACCTCTTGTTTTAATCCACTTATAGAAGAAGTAATAATAAAGTATGGTATAAGTGGATTAAAACCTCTTGTTTTAATCCACTTATAGAAGAAGTAATAATAAAGTATGCTATAAGTGGATTAAAACCTCTTGTTTTAATCTCTTGTTTTAATCCACTTATAGAATAAGAAGCAATAATAAAGTATGGTATAAGTGGATTAAAACCTCTTGTTTGAATCCACTTATAGAAGAAGAAGTAATAATAAAGTATGGTATAAGTGGATTAAAACCTCTTGTTTTAATCCACTTATAGAAGAAGAAGTATTAATAAAGTATGGTATAAGTGGATTAAAACCTCTTGTTTTTACTTAAAAAACCTCTTGTTTTAATCCACTTATAGAAGAAGAAGTATGAATAAAGTATGGTATAAGTGGATTAAAACCTCTTGTTTTAATCCACTTATAGAAGAAGTATTAATAAAGTATGGTATAAGTGGATTAAAACCTCTTGTTTTAATCCACTTATAGAAGAAGAAGTAATAATAAAGTATGGTATAAGTGGATTAAAACCTCTTGTTTTACTTAAAAAACCTCTTGTTTTTATCCACTTATAGAAGAAGAAGAAGTAATAATAAAGTATGGTATAAGTGGATTAAAACCTCTTGTTTTAATCCACTTATAGAAGAGGTATTAATAAAGTATGGTATAAGTGGATTAAAACCTCTTGTTTTAATCCACTTATAGAAGAAGTAATAATAAAGTATGGTATAAGTGGATTAAAACCTCTTGTTAATCCACTTATAGTGGATTAAAACCTCTTGTTTTAATCTCTTGTTTTAATCCACTTATAGAAGAAATAATAATAAAGTATGGTATAAGTGGATTAAAACCTCTTGTTTTAATCTCTTGTTTTAATCCACTTATAGAATAAGAAGCAATAATAAAGTATGGTATAAGTGGATTAAAACCTCTTGTTTTAATCCACTTATAGAAGAAGAAGTAATAATAAAGTATGGTATAAGTGGATGTAAACCTCTTATTTTAATCCACTTATAGAAGAAGAAGTTATAATAAAGTATGGTATAAGTAGATTAAAACCTCTTGTTTTAATCAACTTATAGAAGAAGTAATAAAGTATGGTATAAGTGGATTAAAACCTCTTGTTTTAATCCACTTATAGAAGAAGAAGTAATAATAATGTATGGTATAAGTGGATTAAAACCTCTTGTTTTAATCCACTTATAGAAGAAGTAATAATAAAGTATGGTATAAGTGGATTAAAACCTCTTGTTTTAATCTCTTGTTTTAATCCACTTATAGAATAAGAAGCAATAATAAAGTATGGTATAAGTGGATTAAAACCTCTTGTTTTAATCCACTTATAGAAGAAGAAGTAATAATAAAGTATGGTATAAGTGGATTAAAACCTCTTGTTTTAATCCACTTATAGAAGAAGTATTAATAAAGTATGGTATAAGTGGATGTAAACCTCTTGTTTTAATCCACTTATAGAAGAAGAAGTTATAATAAAGTATGGTATAAGTAGATTAAAACCTCTTGTTTTAATCAACTTATAGAAGAAGTAATAAAGTATGGTATAAGTGGATTAAAACCTCTTGTTTTAATCCACTTATAGAAGAAGAAGTAATAATAATGTATGGTATAAGTGGATTAAAACCTCTTGTTTTAATTAATTAAAACCTCTTGTTTTAATCCACTTATAGAAGAAGTAATAATGAAGTATGGTATAATCTGTAAAAAGGTATTACCTCTTGTGACCACTATGTATATTAGTGATTTTGTTTTCCCTTTAACTTATGTGAATGGGCTGACAACAATATACTTAAATTATTTTCTTCATGTGACGTCAACACATTTCTCTCTCCTAACGGTGTTGTTATTGCCAACACTCAAAACAAAGGTCCTTGTCTTTGTTTTGGAAAACACAGACGGGTCGAGCTGGCTGCGCAATCATGTCGGCGAATCCCTTCGATAATTTTCTCGGCACGCTCGGTGTTTCTGTTCGTAAAAAATAAAAACAACCTCCCCGTTTCGATTGGCATGCTGACTCTGGGCACCTGTAGCGGTGTACAGCTGAGTTCTGGCAAGACCCGCAGACTGCCTGCGGGCAGGGCACATTCATGAAATGGTGTCCAGGGAAAGTTAATACCTCTCATCCGGACCAAAAGAGAGCATATATAACCTGGCGCCGATGCCCACCAGCAAAGCTTCGCTCCTGTAGCAGAACCTGAGCGTGCGCGGTAAACATCTGAGCGAACGAGCCCGTGTCAACGCCGATCTGTCCGCCCGGTTCCAGAGACCGACGGTGCAGCAACTCGCAGCCCAGTGCTTCACCCACCTCTTGGCGGCATCGGCGGCGGCGGCGGCTGCTGCGCATCTCTTTGACGTGATCGTCGGGACTCGGATGAGCTTTTGAGCAGTCGCGATGATTCCGTCTCGGCTGCGTGCCTCTCTGCTCTTGAGCCGCGTCGATGGGAAGACGACGCGATCACCCAGCCGGGCTGCTGCTGGTGGCAAGTGGCTCGGGGTGCTGTTGCTGTTGACGGCGCTGTGCGGTGGAAGCGGCGCAAGCGTCTTGCCCTATAAATTTGCCCACGCCGGCGTCTGCCCCAACGATCTCAACCCGAACCTGTGGGTGGATGCGCAGAGCACCTGCAACAGGGAGTGCAACGGAGACCAGGTGAACTGCCACGACGCTTAATACGAGACCAGACTCCTCTTTTAAAAAATGTGATCTTCAATTTCCAAACAAAAATGACTTTAAAGTGTTTAATTTAAATAATGGGTCCTGATTTAAAAAAAAAATTTACGTCGGAAATGTTTGGATAAGAATCACCACACGTGTTGATTTGGAGTGAAATTTACAAGCGAGTCAGTTTGCAAGAGGCTTTATCGCCTTGATCCGCGCACAGTTATTTTGTCGCTACTGCTGCTTGACGGAGCGGGGTGGAATGTGCAACCTGTGAGCTGTCCACGGTAACAGGGGGTGTGACCGGGTTGCACACAGGTTTTGATTTGAGTAAGCAAAGAAAGAACCTCAAGACTGTAAACCAGTAACACGGAGTTTAAGCCTGGGCAACATGTGGCTAAAATGCATGTGGCTTAAACAGTATAGTTCGTGTGTTTTCCATGATAGGCATACTGCCCTCAGTATGTGCTATACAAAGACAAATATCCCCTGTTTAACCTTTAACAGACTGTTGGGGTTAGTGCTGTTAGCGAGGAGCACCTATGAAGGTCGGCACGGCACACGAGGGAGGTGGGTGGCCAGCACCATGCCCGGCCGCCTTTGTCTCCCTAGTGGCGATGTTTACACACCGCACCAGATACTCATTTGAGGCCGAGTCGACTTAGGGGAGGCCCAGCACCGGTTCATAAATTCGTCACTGGTGTTGGCCATGAGCGGGAATCGAACCCGGGTTCCTGGGTTCATAGTGCAGCGTGCTGTTACACTACTACTCCCCTAACTTTATACACACACATACGCTACATTCAGTAAGTATAGAATGTGTTTTTACTTTAGTGCTATGGATAGACGGCACCCTACTATAAGAATATGGAATTTCCACCATTAACTCAGGGCCACCAACAACAGGAAGCCAATTTGACTTGAAACGTAGTAAGTTATAAACACTAGATAGAATCCACGTGAAGGTTTTGCATTTATTTAGCTCCGAAACAAATGAGAACAATAAAAAGGGGCAGACATTAAAAAGAAACAAGCTAAGGAGGTCACACACAGAGACGGTTGAACAACAACAACCTGAGCAAGGGAAAGATCATAGTTTTTCGCTCGTTTTATTGTTCAACTCTTGCAAACGCACTTCCTTTTCTAACCACGTCTGGCCGGTTCACTTTCGCAGGACTGCATGGCCCTGGAGAAATGCTGCGACAACGTGTGCGGCCTCAAGAGCTGCGTGACGGCTCGCTTCCCCGAGGGCGAGCCCATCACCCAGGACGTCCTGGCCTCGTGCTACTCGTTCCAGTGCCCCCAGCAAGGCGCCGAGTGCGACGTGTGGGAGGGCAAGCCCACGTGCAAGTGCAAGGACCGCTGCGAGAAGGAGCCCAACTTCACCTGCGCTTCGGACGGCCTCACCTACTACAACAAGTGCTACATGGACGCCGAGGCGTGCGTCAAGGGCGTGACGCTGACCGTCGTGCCGTGCAAGTACTACACCATGGGGCCCAAGACGAGCCCGAGGCCCAACGAGACCGCCGTCACGCCGGCGACGCTCAACGCTCCCACCACGTACGTGACCCCTATCCGGCCGGCCCTGGTCGCCAAGCCGGCGCAGCAGTCCGTGTACCTGGGCGGCACCGTGAGCTTCCACTGCGACGTGAGTGGGCAGCCCAAGCCGGACATCACCTGGGAGAAGCAGGGTGAGGGCGAGAAGAACACGATCATGAGACCCGACCGCATGTACGGCAACATGGTGGTGACCAACATCGGCGAGCTGGTCATCTACAACGCGAAGCCTCCCAACGCCGGCATCTACACCTGCACGGCGCGCAATACCGCGGGGCTGTTGAGGGCCAACTTCCCGCTGTCCATCATGCGCAACCCGCACACCTTCAGCAAAGACATGGAGGAGTTCCCCGTCGAAGAGTGCCTCAAGATGCCGGACCGCGAAGACTGTGGCGGCAAGACCCAGACGGTGTGGTACTTCGACGTGAAGAGGAACGGTTGCTTCACGTTCTCGCACAGCCACTGCAACAACAGCCTCAACCGCTTCATCACCTATGAGGAGTGCAAGATGGCGTGCATGGCCAACATCAACAACACATGCTCGCTGCCCGTGCAGCAGGGACCCTGCAAGCAGTGGGCCCTGCGCTGGGCCTACAACCCGCTCATCAAGCGCTGCCAGTCTTTCATCTACGGCGGCTGCGAAGGCAATGAGAACAACTTCCAAAGCCAGGAGCTGTGCGAGGATAACTGTCCTTTTCCGCACGGCCGCCAGTGCAGGGCTTGCAAGTCGCGAAACAAGATCGCGCGCAGTTTCTGCCTTTCCGATTTTGCTATCCTGGGCCGCATGGCTGAACTGACGGAGGACGGAAGCTCGGGGGTGGCGAGGATCATCGTGGACGAGGTGCTGAAGGACGAGAAGATGGGCCTCAAGGTGTTCAACACGAAGCACCTGGAGGTGACGCTGCTGCACATCAACTGGCAGTGCCCATGTCCCAACGTGACGGTGTCAGAGGAGCGCCTGCTCATCATGGGCCAGGTGTACGAGGGCATGGCCGTGCTGTACCCAGATAGCTTCGTGCAGGCAGCCATCGAGAGACGCACAAAGAAGATTTACGAAATGATTTCAAAGAATGCGTGCGACAATTTGCAGCGCGTCGTCGATTAGTTTCCATTCACTATTTGTTTTTTTTTCTTATCTCAGTTTGGTGGGAGGTTAAACTCAACCTACGTTCAACATTAGAGGACACTTTAAAATCATAAGCCAGGGATGGGGGAACCCGTTCCTCACCAGCTGCATACGGCCCATGACTTAATATCATGTGGCCCATGGCCACTTCGAGACGGCCCACAAACGATACTTATCCATCACTTGTATGCATCTTAGTCGCACTAATCGGATACTGGAGGGGAAAATTTGTCAACCTGACAACATTTTTTTTACTTTAGCACGATTTGTCACGTCTGCCATTGTGAGGGCCTCTTGATTTTCGATCAATAGGAAAAGGTTCCCCATTCCACAATTCACCAGGTTTTGTATTAGCACACACCAGAGGGGTGCTCTGAAAGTTTTACGTCAATTAAATTTGGCCTGCAGAGTTAAGCCAATGATTTTAGTACGAGGAGGGTAACATGCGCACATCGAATGACCACACAGGGTGAAATTGCTAGCGCTTTAATACAGTGCTAACTCATTGTGAAGAAGTAGATTTTTTTTGAGCAGGTGAAACATTTGGCAAGTCTTTGAGTGAAATATGTAAAGTTTAAGTGGCTCATCGGACATGGGCCGTGGAGCCACTGCTTAATGTAACCAATGGGCTGCTATTTTTGTATTTTAATTAAAAGCATCATTTACACATTTGAATGATAAAAAATAGAATAGAGGTGTGAAGTTCAAACACTAAATAGACACACCTATTGAAAGACATCAAGTCTGCATTAACCACACATACTTGTGGTAAAAAAAAAATGCAAACGTGCTTTAATAATGAATGCACTGTCCTTGAAACTGATTGGCCTCACCAGAGACAACGTCTTCCATGGATTTGTCTCACTAGGCGCTACAGAGACCAAAGGCCGAAAAAAGGCAAACAGTACGAGGACATTGCAAAAACCAAAGCAGTAATAGCTCGGGTTAAGCAGTTATATCTATGGGACCCTATAATGTTAAATTATAATAAAAAAAAACTACCTTGTTTTATAAATCATTATCTTGATACTGCCAAAAAGGGTCCCATCGATATTATTTACACCTATTTAAGCACAGCTTTGATACGTTACATGATTAGCATTAAGAAACTTTATATGGTTTATCATTAGTAGTGTGATATTGTAGCAGTACAAATTAAAGCATATGATTGTAGCAGTATGTAGTATGCATTAACTGCAGTAAGATTGTTTTTCTTGTATTTAAGACTCATGTTTCTGTTTCCCCCCGATATTAACTTAAGATATTGTTTTGCATCGTACCACTATATATCAAAGTACCGTTACATTCCTACACCTCTTACAGTATTATTGCCATATTTGTAACCTTGCCATCATAAGACAAATGAAATGATTACGGATTTGACATATTCTTTACGAGCGGTGATGTAATCGCACGAGCCCTACATTCAATTACAATGAAAACATCTGAACTATAAAATAACGATTGTACCGCACGTGTTGGCTACCATAATGTACGACGTTCACTTCCTGAAGAAGCTCCCGGATCGTAAGGCTGAGAGCATCATAACAAAAGTTTTTTTTGGGATTCGATCGCATAAATAAAAGTGTTTCGTGAAACCTGCCACCACCGACAGAGCCAGTTAGTTAGGGGTTTTCACGTAAACGAAAGGCGTCAATTAGTTACTACTTCACAACACCGGTGTGTTGGAGAGTAAACCAACAACATTTAAAGTTGGAGCACCGTAACGTTTTGTACTCTGTACCCCATAACGGCAAAAAATCTACGCAGCAGCATAAAATTAAAAAGTAATTTGTCGGGAACTAATTTTTGTATTTCATGTTTTGCTTTAATGCCACACATATAAAACAAGACCTATTCACTACCATATTGAGGATAACAACCATTTTATTAATGATCCATATATTGTATGTTGTGTTTTGTACAGTAGATTCTTTTTTACATGCATTATTGAAATGAACAACAATAAAGTGTGTAAAGGTACCAACCTTACGTGTCATTTTTACATATATATTGTGAATGATTGTTCTTTAATAAAAAAAAGTGTAAACTTACACCTCTACCTTGGCATTTCAGCACAGGTGTCTGATACGGATGCTAGAATTTCGTGGAAAGACGGGAAAAGCATGACAGAAGTCTGTAAAAAAAACCCCACAGAACAAGGCAGATAAGCGTTGCCAATGCGATTCAGAAAAAAAGGTTGCTCTGGACAGGACATGCGTGCAGGGATGAAGGAGGGTTGGTTACCGAGACGGTCATTGGGAGTGGTCCCCCACGAGTCTGGCAACCAAAGGAGGAGGCTTTTTAAGGGCAGATGGTGGGACACTATCGGGCTAGATCGTGGAGCTCGTGTGACCACCGTGCAGCAGCAGTTGTAGGATCTTGTAGAAGTTGGAACGCATTGGGTGGGCGCGCGCTGGCGTCAACAGCCTTGACCATGATGACATCTTGATCTTGAATTGAAAAAGAATTACGGATCAATTTGCATTCAAAAGGTATCGCTGAACACGACCAAATGATTGCGTTCAGAATTAATTTTCATACAAACACTGTAATTATTAGTTATGGTTATGAAACACGCTTCATGATACATATCGGTTACCACTGGAAGAAAAAAAACTACATTTAATTTGTATTCCTTAATTTACAGAAATACTTCAAACTTAAAACGTCACTCAAAATTGACTGGCAGTCGAAGCAACATTGCTTGGCTATTAGTTCACTCTCACTTCAAGTCAGTGTGAAAAGCTTCGCTTTTGGAGGGCATAAAACGGCCACCTTTTACACATTGGTTTTGCCCGATGACCCTGAGAGCCGGCATCTGCATATTTGACACGCTTAACCCATTATCGTCACAACCGTATCTCTTGTGTACAGTGCTTTGTCCCTGTTATTACATTTTTCAGTCATATTTTAGTTTCGGTTTGTTTTTTAATTACACATCACACGGGAGCGTTTATATTGACTGAAACATCGTTACATTTCCACAGCCGTTGTACACTCACTAACATACCATACTAGTTATTTCTGCAATGCGCGTCAGGTGTGTTTATAGGTGCATTCAAATGTATCGGAATTAATGAAGATTTGATCGCAATTTACATGAATAACGTTTGACATATCACATTAAAAACACATTTATTATTTAAAAAGCGTACAGTAGTAGATCATCTAAACAAATGTAATGCAGTATCATGTGACCTCCTTTGCTAGTTTTGTTGCCAACAAAAGAGGAAAACCTATTCTCATATAATGCAGTAGTTTTGAAGGTGGCACGAATTCATATTGCGATTATGAACAGTACAGGAATCATATTCTTGGTTCTTTCGGTAAAGTCATGTAGAAGGGAAACAATACAATGATAAAAATATAAAACAATAACATTCTCACGACGTTTTATTGTTTCCCTTCTACGTGGTGACTTTACCGAAAGAACCAAGAATATGAATCCCTGCAGTCACGAAAGCTTTAAATCAAAAAGTAAAGGAATCGTTTCGCAAATGAATTACATTTACATTATTTCCCAGTGTCAAGTTACGTGAAATACAAAGAAATTTCCACCAATATATTTCCCATTCATTTATAATGAATTTACATTTAAAAATGAAAAGTACTGCGGCAGAGGTTTTTCGCACTCATTGCACACAAAGTGCTTGCCACTAAAATGAACCACAATACCTTGGTGATCTGGTCAAGCAGCATAAACCTAACTCTGGTCATCGCTCGCAGCAGCGGCTTTTGACTTTCCATCGAACAAAGACGGTCACCGACCGCATCGTGCGCTTTCAGATGCGCTTCTGCGGCCGTCTGGAATGCTCTTCATTCCGATATTAGGAAGCCACTGAAGCCTTGCGCTTTTAATTCAAGATTGAAAACGCATTTCTTTTGAACTGCTTTTTTGTGTTTAGTTTATTGTCCTTCCCCCCGCACGTTCGATTAGCGCGGTTGGCTATGTAACGTTACGAAAAAAAACTTCAACATATATACACATACATGATCGCGCTCCTTAGCTCTCGAATGTGTTTGTGGGTTGTGGCACGTGCGCATAGCCTGGCACAAGCGCCGCGGTGACGTCACCGTCACTCAGTGGCGAATGGTGGTTGTTGTTGTTGTTTGTTCGGCACGATGCCAATCGTTTTGCTCCACATGCTGCACTAAAGAAGCTCCCAGGACGCGGAGTGAAGCGACGGACGTCAGAGCCAAACAACACGCGGTACGATCTGAAAACACATTCGGAGAGCTATGAATGATTTTAGCGACAAAAAAATAACTCACCGAGTATAACACACACCAGATGAGATTAAATTTTGATTTAAAGATTTCGTGACTGCAGGGATTCATATTCTTGGTTCTTTCGGTAAAGTCACGTAGAAGGGAAACAATAGAATAATACAAATATAAAACTAACATTCTCACGACGTTTCGACTGCAACACAGCTGTGGTTTTCACACCTGATGATGATTGCTTGTGTTGCAGTCGAAACGTCGTGAACATTTTATTGTTTTATATTTTTATTATTTTATTGTTTCCCTTCTACGTGACTTTACCGAAAGAACCAAGAATACAGATGAGATTAGTTGTAAAGATTACATTTTCTCCGCCACATTTTGCTTACACAACTCATCGAAATTCCAGTGAATCCTAATGGAATGTCTCTTAACCCAGAGTTATATCCCCCCATAATCCACCAATGTCGCTGTAACCTGATGAAATCTCACATAAGCTGAAAATTTGAAGCAATAGAAGGAATCCCACATGATCCATATAAAGTCAGTTGAGACTTAGTCATCTTTCTTCGGATTTCAAAAATTCTCATTTCAAGTGTGGCCTTGAGACAAATGATACTGCGTTCATCTTTTTCAAATTACTTTTGGTCAAATAGCAAAAAGAAAAAAAAAACTTGCGTGCGATAAATTTGTCCAAAAAATACTGACATATTTCCAGGCAATTTGAAACGACTTGAAATTACATCTGTCTTTGTAAAAACAAATGTGGCGAGTATTTTTGTTCCACACACAATGATAATACAGCGTAAGAAGTCGAAGGATGAAGTGTTCTTTAAAACAGGAAGAAAATTGTTCTGTTGGAGGCCTTTTCCACCCATGTGTCGCGTTTAATTTCGCTAAATAAAATAATTCCAACGGGGTTCAGCCACAATTCAGGTGCAATTCACTGACCAAGAAGAACATCAAACTGAACTTTTATATACATTCTTGAAATTATTAGAATTTCTTTTGGCCTTGGGATTGTTTTTAGCCCATTCAGATCACAGACACTGCGCTCTTTGATATTCACACCCACCGAGACACATCAGAGCGTTTCAGAGATTTCAAGCTGCCGCCTCGTCGATGTTGACGATACATTTTCCGTCTCCGAAGGCTTAAGAGGGATTTCGTGCCTCCGGTGACTGACAGGAGGCTGAAAAGCACGGCCACTCTTTAAATATTAACGAATGTTTGTCCAGAACTTTAGCAGGAGATAAACTGCTAACGTCCTTCAATGGTCGGAATTTAATGTTGTTGCTCGGTAGCCTAAGATCTAGCGGTGCAAAGAGCAACGTTTTGAAATGTACTGCACCAGGCTTATATACTTGTAATAATAGATCACAACGTTTCGATCGCCACACAAGCGATCGTCCTCAGGTGGGTTCGCTTGTGTGGCGATCGAAACGTCGTGATCTATTATTATTTTTCTACGTGACTTTACCGAAAGAACCAAAGAGTATGGATTCCTGAAGTCACGAAAACTTCAAATCAAGATTATATACTTGCGTTACGCAGATGTGTGCAATAACTCATGCACGGTTTGTTTTTCACCAAGTTCTAGGCCTGCTTCACATGCACAACCCATTGTCAATCCACTGTTGGATGAAGACCTTCCATGCACCATGTCAATTGATGGGAGGTTTTGTTGGACCATAACTTCACCACCTTGGTCAGTGCGGGTTGGACGAGAGGACCGATTCAAATGTCACTCGCCACTGCTGTT